CAAAGATGTACGGCGCCTAGCCGCAGAAAATCTCGGAGTGATAGTTCCTATAACAAAGGAAGCTGCTACTCTGGATGAGTTCGCGCGTACAAGACTCGGATTGTGCAGGTTCGATTTGTCTTTTTCACATATTCGCTACAATTGCCCATTATCATCATGTTGAAAAGCCTTTATCATTGTTGACGTATTGATTTTACAGTCGAGATGATCAGATTACTTCCTATGCGGAGTTCAAAGTACAAAAATACAGTCGTCGTCACGAACAACCCGTTCGTCGATTACTTTGCCTTAGTGAAACATGTCTTGTGGAACGTGATCCAGCCACATATGCTGTCGTTTGCGCAACTCCATTGGAACAGGTGCGAAGATCTCTTTCTGTTGGCTCTTTATGGAGAATAGAGATTGTTTACAGTTGTTTACAGTGAGGTAGTACATACTTTCAGATTGTATGTCTCGTCCGTTTGGAAAAAGATCCTCAACAATTCGTAGTTGAGTACATGAATGCTGAAGGCAGAGTATATTCAGCTGCCGAAAGGTACTTTGTATATGCAATTTTGGCTTCATTGGTTCGTCTTTTGAGTTGGTTTAGAACAAATTCACAATTTTCCCCTTTTTGACAAGCAACCTACTATCTTTTTACAGAGATCTCATTATCGCTTCACTTGTTGATGGTATACGAGCTGCTGGGAATGAGCAGGTAAGCCCATGCAGACTGTTAGGATGTCTCTTTTGTCCAAACGGTTATCTCTACGCTATCACACATTATGGTTTCTACTACCTCTCAATGATAGCATACAGCCTGAGCGGTTTTTGCCTTTACTCTATGATTTTCCAATGCCCTGATTCCACACCGAGAAGTGCCAATACAGAGAAATGCCGCTATTAGTCTCGCGCCTTTCGTTGCGGAGTACTTTGGGTTGATGTCAAAAGTCATTTTGCTTGTCTACCCTTTGTATGAGCTGCTCGAGTCCTAGCCAATGTAAAATTTAAGGAGAGCATGGAAAAATGAAAATATGCCGAGTTTTGTGTGATCTTTCTTTAAGTACAAAGAGGATCTGGTCATTGTAGCATTTTTTTTCTTTTGCAGGTCTTTGTAACCAGCCATAGGTTTGATCAACCACTACGATTACTACCTCATGGTCAACTGTTAGATGAAGATGGTGAATCGCAATGTATGCGTCACGTTATTGCACCTCCTCGTGAGTTGACCAGTCTTTTATCTTCGTTTCAGTTATTTGCATTCTTTGCTCTTTACATTATACCTTTGCTTAATTTCAAGAACTGTCTTTGTGAAGATATAAATGTTTCTTATCTCTTCGATTCTGTCATTCTCAAGGTATGGCTGGATAAAATAGTTAGCGTTTCTGATTCCAGCTGGTCTGAAGCGCTCCGATCTCATTCGAAGATTCAACGCAAATATTCCATATACGGGATTAACGTATTCAGTATCTCAAGAAGGATTTTTCACTGAAAACAAGGGAAAGGTCATTGTTGGTGCACTGGAAGCGGTGCTAGGAGAATGTTACGAGAAGGTAACATTGCAAATCTATC